TCAAAGATCTCCTAGAAAAGCTGTTTTAGAAAACACTTCTGAAAAAGTTTCTGCTTATGAAAACATGCCCCCAAGTCTCCGCTTTCTTATGGCGAAAGCCGGAGCTCTCTAGCTGGCTTCTATCAAAGTTATTAAAAAAACAACGGAGTCCATTCTATTTTGGTACAGACAGTAGTAACGGTAACCGACCAACAGTTACAGTTATTGTAACGGAAATGGTAACTGTCACAGCCTTAAGCTAAACTCACGCATTCGGATGTAAGAATAACAAATGATATACAGAACTGGAAAATTTTCTAATTGCACTAGAGCACAATAAAAAATCGTTATTATATTTGTGCTATTCATGCAAGAAATAAGACTAGTCATTTTAAATGCCGTTTATATTTAATAACGGCGAGTTCTACACCTCTCATTGATTAAAATTGAAAATTTTGTACAGAGATATATGATGTCATTCGTAATCAAATTTGACAAAGGAACAGCTTGCCTCTAATACAACTTGTGTAAAGTTTTCAAGCTGCCTTTGATAAGTTATCTCAGCTAGAAGATCATCCTCTATAGTAACTTACTTCTCTTTAGTTGGTTGATTTGAATTTTGTCTTCCGATGGTGAGTACGGATGATGTGTACATTGATTGTTTACCATTTCTATTTAATTTTTTATCTTGTTCTAATCCAATGGCTGGTGTTGGAATTGACATTAAAGATGGAATTTCTCCCGTACTATTAGTTTTTTGTTGTTGTGGTTGTTGATAACGTTGTGTTAACCATCCATTATCCTCAGCTTTTGGAATCAATTCTTTCATCAACTGTTCAGTTTGTGATGCATATCGACCAAAGTCTAAATAAAATAAAAAAAATTAGATATGTTCAGTATTCTGATTATTAACATCATGAAAAAAATTAAATGATAATAGCCACCACCATTTGTCATTTAGATGTTTGGATTCTGAATAAATACATATGTAAAGTAGACAATACACTCTGCACTTGAGTTATCAATTTATAACGAAACGCCCGAATTAAGAAGAAAAGATCGCACATTCCATAGAGTGCGATTTTTTTTCATTATTCTATCGCTTCTAGAACTGTTTAGCTACTTCTATGACTAGGTATATTTTCCAAAACGTATTCTAAAATCTTAAACAACATCCTTAGTCTTCGCACACTTCTATCGTATATTCTCGATATAAATAATGTCAAACGGAAACACCTGTGAATGGTGTAGTAACTGTATCTATTAGACATATCAGTACTAGTATTTGTAGGTACTGCGATCTTATATTTCTATGTGAGAAAGAGCATAAAAGCATGCGATTAAATATGCGATAAAAGAGGAAGAAAAATAGATTTCATCATGTTTGATAATTCATGTGTTGTTGATTCATTGCCGCTGTTGTTCATAACATGTTGAATTGGTTACTAGCGAGTCATTCCACGCTTTATTTGGGTGCATATGCTGACAGCAAGAGAAGAGTAAAAATATTAACGCAGCAACACATGTAGCCAGTCATTTACACAATATGTAAATCTATGAGCGCATAAAGATTAAAAGAAAAGCTGTATAGTAGCGTTATGATTGTAGAAAAATGTTAAATATTTATTCTAATAATAACCTGATCTATTAAGAATACACTCCCTCTTTTTTGGAAAAATTTTTGATTTTGAGTTGAACACAGACTAATGTAAAGAAAAGTGTGGATTGCAGAAGAAGATCACTTCCAGCATACCATCATCTAGTTTTTTAAAGTTTGGGATCCGATCGAATGAAGTTTTCGAGAAGGACTTGTAATGTATCGGGTGTCCTAGATTAAATGGCATTTGTAATATTTCCTCTACAACTTTTTTTTGTTACGTTCCCAACTCTTAATTAGTTTTTCATTAGATGCATTGTCAGCTGCTGCTCTACAAAAACATAAAGAACATATTTTTGTAGATCTCAAAAATAAAAAATAAGAGGGAATACTGTGAAACTTCAATCTCCATTACTTTGGAACCTAAAACACGCTTTTGTCAATTTTAGTCCTTCATAATTTGCCACATAAAACAAAGAATCTAATCTAGTCGTTTTGCAGCTCTTCCAAAGCTCTCAAATGGCTATATTTAAAATTCTTTATAATCACAAAAGACTGAGGTAGAATCTTTTTTCTTTTATCGATTTTGCCAAAAATCATCATTTCTAAACTGCTGTACAGCACTTATAAAAAAATTTATAACTCAGCCAAAATCAAGCATTGTAGAGTCGGGTTTGTTTTATCTTAAAGCAAAAGATCTCTTCTGCTATATCCAAAGAAAGAAAGCTCAATAACTCCATTTCTTTTCCCTTCTTAAGGCGAATAAGACAAATTTGCACCTTTTTTTGGTAAGTTTTGATAAAATTTTATTTTTTTTCTCAAGAATAGGTTCAAATCGAACTTATGATACACGAAAAGAGTTTTAAGT